CCCCTGAAAACGGCGATTAAAAATCGTCTACCGTTGTAATTTACTATGAAAATTTGGAATTTCATATGAGTGTCGATCACTCAAATTTCATATTAAAAATTTTATTCACCTGATCTGCGTGACATCTCGATCGACTGATATTTAACAATAGATACCACGCAAACAGCGTAAAACTTTGTAAACTTAATAAAAAATAAAATAATTATTTTTAAATAAAATTATCCAGTTACTAAATGGTCAAGACCTTAGTATATTATACGTATAAGATTACTAATCAATAAACCATTTGTATTACACTTTTACATTACAGCATTAACACAAGATAACTGATGATCGAATTTAACCGATCAAATTAATTAACCAATCAAATGAAATATATGATAAATCTTCCAGTACCCGTGGGTACGGCTAGTTTATTATCAATGTTTCGGATAGAGATGCTATACATCTGGATATATCGACAATTTTGTATAACCAGAGTAACGGGTTCAAATTGTTATTCGTTGAACAATCATCACGTGGATTTGGGACGGGATTTGGGATTTTGGATTAGGATTTGTCCATTTTTGCCACGAGATTTTTAGGCATGACTGGACAATCCCATTTGTTCGGGTTTGTCCATTGGGTTGTCCATGTACCAATCCCAAATCCCGCCAACAAGTATAATAAGGAAAGTACCAACGGAACGGTAGGGTGTTAACTAAATAGTTTGGTAACATGTCTGATATGAAGATCATTAATTTCGGATTTATTAATGGTTAAATTTCGATTTTAACTTTTTCGACGATTTATATATACGTACTACAGTATGTTTATACAGTAAAAATTAAAAATTTACATTTATTAGCACAAATATCAAACGAATGTGTGTATAATTTTTTTTTTTAACTTGAAGTTCTCAACTAGCTCTACATGGTAATAGAGCTACTTTTTTCAATTTATTTATAAAAATCATTCAAATATTAAATAATTAATTAATTTTTTAAAAAAAACTGTTTAAAAAAAAAATTATACGTATACACTTTTGTAAGATACTTGTGCTACGTAATAAAGCAAATTTAATTTAATATTTAAATGAGAATTATTATTTGTACACTAGTGTGTACACACAAGGTATTGTTAGTACTAAAATTTTGCTTATATAAAACTACTTTGGGGTTCTAACAAAAAATCTACGCGAAATTTTAGTATGTTACACGGATTTGCAAATCAACCATCGCTATACGTATAACTAATATATACCCGTGTTTATACACTTAGAAATTTTCAGATTTTCTAGTCAGAATTTTGCGCAGATTCTGCTAGGGATGTTAAGTAGTCAGACTATTTTAGTTTTTACAGTACAATTTATATGTAACCAACATAGTCGAACTAGCTGGTTACATATAAATTGTACTGTAAAAACTGAAATAGTCCGACTACTTAACATCCCTAGATTCTGCCACAACAGCCCCCTTAAACACTTTTCATATTAAAGATTGACAGTACCGGATAATTATTTAATTTATTCGGAATCTGGATAGAAACAGATCCGAACACTAATCTTAAGTAATCACGATTGATCTTTTTAGCCAGTGCTTAATAATAATAAATGTGCCAAATTTTAAATTATGATTGGTTAATTATAAATTCGCTGCACTCCGAACATCGCAGAGAATCAACAGGGCCTGATAGTTTTAATAAATATTTAAATATATAATAGGTGCTCGAAAAAGAACCATTCTGCCAATTAATATAATTGCTATTTTAGTGATCATTGGTTAATTTCTATTTATACATTAAAATAGAAATTCCATGTTCTTTTCACACTGTCGTACGATTTTTTTAAATAAAAATTTTGTAAAAAGAAAAATCCGTTCATTTTAACTCCTTTCCCAAAAAATTTTGTATAATTTTTTTTATCGTTAAAACACCATGCTTAGGAAAGTATCTGAATCTCTTGGAATGTCCTCTTTAGGTTTACCGAGAAGTCGTTCCCTCAATGAAACTTTTTCCGCTCCTAGCTCTCCTAGAAAATCACAAACGTTTTCAACTCAAAAATATGGTGTTACTTATACCTTGGATCGATACTTGACTAATGAAGGTCACCGACTGGTAGCCTCATACTTTCATCTAAATCAAACACAAAAGCACATACAAAAAGGAGCTTTTCACCAAATTAATGAAAGAGATCTTGACGAATTAGTAAAATCTTATAATGGCGTCACAACTCGCGCATTTGAAACATTGAATCATCAACATTTATGTTTAACTTTGGCAGAATGTAAATTATTGGCTAAATTGTTAAAATATGATGTTGTTACAAATGTACACACTCTAAATATATCGAGAAATAGATTGTCTGGTTCTTCGATAAAAGTAATTCTCGAAGCGTTGCAAAAGAATACTACAGTGACCTTTTTAGATCTAGAGGGAGGAAAAAATTAGTCAATTCACTCTACGAGAATGCCACGTTGACTTCTCTGGAATTTAGAATAATGAA